TAAATTACGGCTAGTTAGATTAGAGAATCACATTTATCTAAAAAATAACACCTATTTTTCACACACGACTCGAAGAAAAACAATGCGGATCCGACATAACCTAAAATACCGGGTTTTCATGACATACAATACGCTGTAGCCATGTCATTTTGTAAAAATGAATGATCATACCATTTAGCAATGATAACCAGAGGTATATTGGACCCAATGATTCAGTAGTTGAGTCCGCTCATCACATTGGCAGCGCTGTAAAAATTAAAAACCGAAGTGGTATGACATGTATACCACCGTGCAACAAAGGGTTAACTCGACTAATTAAAAGTGTTGTCTCTTGTATCGCCAAAAATCGACAACATTAGGAATTACTATACTTTCACTCTCAAGAAATGAGAGATTTTGTCGCCTGTTCTCGTTTGTAATTTATTTTTTGAATCCGATTTTTCTCTCTCTCTTTTTTTGATACCTACATTCAAAAAGTTTGCAATATTTGCCGCCCCCTAAATTTTGCCGCCACGTGGCCACCCCCTTAATCCGGCCCTGAGTCATACAGTGTACTCAATTAACTTCATGAATGTAGTAGTCCACGGAAAAAAAGGGTATCATTAAGCACATATAGGCAAATTTTTCAGTAGGGAAAGCAATATTATTGTCGAGTTGGGTCGAAACATTGGATCTAAAAATTTCGACAAAAACTCATCGTCGCGTCCCAGAGAGGAAGAAGTGTAAGTAGTTAATTTTCGCTGAAAAAGAGAGCGTAACTTTTCAGCTTCAACTGAAAATTTCGTATCCTGAAGTTGATGAAGTAGAATTGCAGCTTTTTTTTCAAAATTACCCTTGAAAGCTGCAAATGTTCAAACCACCATTCGGTTTGTTTGAACAATTTTTGCCGTTTATGTCCACTTGACGCGCCTTTAAGCCGCAGTATGATAAACTCAATTTCAAGTTTTTGAGGACTTACGTTTATTTTCAAGTGGACGGCTGAATTTAACCAATTTGCGACCAGTGGCGTGGCGTGAATTGCCACATATCGATCGTTATGCCATTTAAACCTATGGTAAAGAATCGATTATTAAGGTGTTCGTTGCGGACACCCTGGTAATCGATCCCTTTCCATAGGTTTATATGGCATAACAATCGATACATCGCAATTCACGCCACGCCACTGTTTGCGACCCTCTACGGGGGGACGGGACCTCGGCCCATAAAAATTTAATATTGAATCATTACGACGCCATCAAGTAGGAGATGAAAGACAATTTTGGGACCAAAAATTCAAGAGTTATGGCTGTCTTACAACCTTTGCAGTTTATGGTACCTGGAGCTTCGTAAAGTTACTCCTTAAAACTCTGTATTTAGATCAGAAGGAACTATATCCATTCTGACATGAGCCGCGAGATCCATGAGATTACATGCATGACAGGGCTCATGTCACAATGACGCATTTATGCTTAAATGAACTTCGCGGATAGGGTTTGCTTGCAACATAGTTCCCTTTAACACAAAACGTTCAATAGATACAGTTCCTTTTGATTTAAACGCGACCAATTAGTTTTGTTCGGGGCACGAAAGTGCCAAATTTTTTAGCACAAAAATTGTTGTATGAATTAAAACTTCCCACTCATATAAAAACCATAATTTGCACCTGTGCTAAATCGTACTTTGGACGTGACCGTGACTGACAGTCTTTGCAGCTTTGCAGTGTGAGAAAAGGACAACATCAATATTGGTGCTCCGGCTCAGCTGTTGCACGCTGTTTACTCTTAAGTATCAGAACACAAGATGGAGAATGAATACTGCTTGATTGGGAAGCCTGCTATAAGTTCGCGATTTGATTGAAGTAGACTCTGGTTTTTCTTGTGAGCGGGAAATCAAGCAAAAATTATGAGCTCAGAAGAAAAATAAGGGAAATTTTCAGTTAGGAATTCCCAAATTCTCCTTGTAAAAATGAAATTTGTAAGCAGAAATTTGGGAGCAATGAACTGAAGTTATAGTTTCGTTACTTCGTGAGGGAAAAGACGATATGTTTACGAGAATGCTGAACCTTGTCAAGTGGTCCATTGCAAGTCTGATAACTCGGTCTTATTTTCGAAGTTATCTCATCATGCAACGTTTCCCTTTATGCAGGCCTCGGCCTCATGCATGCCTTGCGTTTTCGTCAGAAGAAGAAAGCATTCGCTCTTAATAGGCGTGACAAATACCCTTGTTTTCGACGAACGTGGATTGAGGCGGAAAAGGGAGCTAAGGGTGTTTGATATTAAAGAGGAAGAATACTGCCGAGCTGAGGAAAAACACCGTATAAGCCTTCAGGCGTTGCCAAATTTCTTTTCCTTAATTTTCAATAAAATTTATGAACATTTTTCTTCCAATCTCTCAGATAATTTTTCTTGCAATGAGATCTAAAACATCTGAAAATTTCAAGGAAAATATCGAAAATTTCAAGGAAAATATCGAAAATTTTCCTCAAAAATAAACATTTTATCGTTGAAAATTTGGCAACTCTCGAATGTTCATATGGCGTTCTTCCTTAGTAAGTACGGCAGAATAGTCGTGTTTGAAGCGGAGATAGGAGAAATAAACGTAGCGGTGATTGTAGCACCGCATAACGATGTAATATGACAGTAAGATCTTATTATTTGGTTGTCTTACAGAATTAACGTCGCCACAATAAAGAACTTCACCAGTGAAACCTATGCTTGTACCTATTTCATAATTATAATTTCTTTTTCTCTTTTTTTTTTTTTTGACAGGCTGCAAAGCGACTTGTGAATAAAGACATGAGAAAAGCGAGTCTCCAAGAAAAACGAGCTTCAAGATTGAAAGGAAATGTGGATGATGATGGCACTCACTGTCACTGCCGATTGTGGTCGGCCCCATCGGAGCTGCGGCCACAGGTACACGGCAAAATCAAGATGTGCTGTGATTATGGGGAAGGCGTCGAAACAAACAC